GATGTCTTTGTTTTTGCTGAAAGACAGACAAAACCGTCCGTGGGTTAAAATAAGAATTGCTTTTTTTCTAAACTCTGTGCCTTCGTATGATTTTAAGTACAAAATTTTAGAATTTTATTCCGACCAAAAAAAAATTTTGACACTGAAAGGGTTAATAAAACACCACTCCCCAATACAACTGCTGGAATTAAATATTGAACCAGCGTTCGAAAATAAACATTATGGTACCGTTCCATAGTGTTCTGTACCGTACCAAGGTGGATGGGTACACTAAAATAACGTACTGTACCGGTACACAAACACTAAAAATATTTTTAGCGTTACTGTTCCGGAGCACAACGAAAATCTTAGCGTACCTGCTGCGGTACACTAAAAAATCGTAGTGTACCGACAGCGGTACACTAAAAATCGTAGTGTACCGACTGCGGTACATTAAAAATCTTTGTGTTCCTCTGGACGGAACACTAAACATGTTAGTGTTCCGCTTATCGGAACTCTAAAAATCTTAGTGTTCCACTTGCCGGAACACTAAAAATCGTAGTGTTCCGGCAGTGGTACACCAAAAATCGTAGTGTTCCACTGGTCGGAACAATACAAATCGTAGCGTTCCACGTTCCACGTCTGTTTTTTTTTTTTTTTTTGAGGTAAAATTAGATCAAATAATAAAAAAGTAATACTGAATATAAGTTTACTTGCAATAAAAAAAGTGAAAATGTCCATTTGAAATAGGTATTTTGGCCAGTTTTTGTGACAAAATTATACAGCTTAGGATAACATTTTCATTAATTTACACAACGAACATATTTTCCATAATATTGGGAGATCTCCTTGTAAAATGCTAGTACGAAATTTTTTTTCTTAAAACAATTATACCTGCATCCATCTATGATTCATACTTTTAGGAAATTTTAGCAAAAATATTCAAAATTTGGTGATTGTACGGGTATGAAAAAAATATTTTTATGATTTTGGGATAAATGTTGCAAAACCACATATTCTTTATGATTTTTGCACAGGTAGTCTTATGCAATACATTTTTCCGATCAGCGCAATCGATTATCAGCGAAAATGTAATCCAATGGAATTTTCAGTTGCGAGTTGGCATCAGATTGAATTTTCACTCGACGACCTTTTTTAGTTATAAAATATTTATTATGTTAAACTGTAGATGCTAATAAAATATAAACAAATACAAATTTAACAAGTTTTCTATTTATTAAATCTATTGAAAAAAATATATAAATTTTATTTATACAAAAAATAAAATATAATTAATACATCTTTTTGTGTTCCGACAAATGGAACACTACGATTTTAAGTGTTCCGCCAAGTGGAACACTACGATTTTTAGTGTTCCGCCAAATAGAACACTACGATTTTTAGTGTTCCGGCCAGTGGAACACTACGATTTTTAGTGTTCCGGCAAGTGGAACACTACGATTTTTAGTGTTCCGACCGCGGTACGCTACGGTTTTTTAGTGTTCCGACAGCGGTACACTACGATTTTTAGTGCTCCGACCGCGGTACACTACGAATTTCGTTGTGCTCCGGAACAGTAACACTAAAATATTTTTTAATGTTTGTGTACCGGAACACTAACGCTAAAAATTTTTTAGTGTTTGTGTTCCTGGTACGGTACACTACGATAGTGTACCGTTTTTTTGCGAACACTGTATTGAACACAAAAGCAACAACAACAAACAATATTGGATTAATCATTAGAAATCAAAAAATATTAATTGAATTGCTCAAATTAAGGTTATGCGAGGGGGGCCGCCGCAATTAGTTTGTTGAGCTCCCCTGAGGTATTATGACACACATGCGTGAGTAGTTCATTGGCATTATCAAATGGGAATAAATATGAAAAGTTTCGATATTTATTATCAATATATTTGATTAATAGCTATGAAAATGAAATTGTCGCGAGAAGTGGGGGATCAATGGGAAACAATTATGATTAGCTTTTAGATTAGTCATGCGAAGTATTGAGGGACATTTGTTTGGTAATAATAAGCTTTAATAGTTAAAATATAAATCCTCTAAGTTTGATTTTTCTATTTTAAATTTCTTAATTTTTTAATATTGTCTTATATCCCTATATCTTAACTCTACTCCATCTATGAACCCCTCGTGTTTCTTCCGAGATAGATATTTTTTCTTTCCCATTTCGAAAATGATTATATTTCTGCAGTTATAATAAACTACTGTCAAATTACTTTTACCGATATAACAGCAACAACAACACAACTTATACTAACATAACAAGTGTCAATTTAAATGTTCACATAACCGATACTTGTCTACGTTTCACTTCGATTTTTTTCTATTTCACACCATCAAACCTCCAGAGGAATTCAAGTGCCAACATCTCTGGTTTTCCAAGCATTTTGTTTCACACCAAGGCAAGATAAAGAAAAAAAAAATCTGAAATAAAAGGGAGTAAAGAATTCTTCTCCTACCGATGCAGACTAATCAAGTGCGTGTGGTATGTTGCTCCTTGTTATTCCATAGTTACATATGTAGCAACAACATCACATCATAATAAGGATACAACATTGATGAGAGTGTGGTTGTTGTTGTTTCCTCTGGCATCGATTGATACACCAGTTACATTTGAGAGGAGATGTTGGTGGTATCATCATCTGACTGTCTGTCATCATATCAACATCATCGTCATCACTATTGCCATTCCCATTGTCATTACCGCCATCATCTTCACCATCACCACTCTTCTTTTCTTTTCTCTTCTCTTCCATCTGTCTGTCTGCCGTATTTCTACTCTCATTATTATCGTTCAAGTCATTGGTTTTTATGATTATTGGCGTGTTTAAGAGTTCTTTAAGCTTATTGCAAAATGTGTATTTTTTCTATTACTTGTTGTTGTAGTTGTAGTTGTTGGTGTGATATGTTTGTTATGTAGTGTTTTTTAACCTTACACAACTATGTTGTCAGGGTATTATAGTTTTTTTTTTTTTTTTGCAGCCCCAAGAGTTTGTAACGCCGCGAAATATTGGTCCTAGGTCCACCTTTATATATACCGGCATATCTCGACTAGCTGAGTCGATCTAGACATGCGTGTCCGTCCATCTGTCCATTATAATTTGTAAACACGATACAGGCCACAGTTATTGACCAATCTTCACGACATTTTGCATGTAGGATGGGTTCTGGCCAATGAAGACCCCTATTGTTTTTGGTAAAGACTGATAGAAAATTTAGGGAGAAAGGGGATCGGGCCAAAGAATAAGCATGCCTGTTTTGATAAAGATCGGTCATTATTTAGCGGGTCAAATGGACCCTGACCTTTTGTGAAAAATTACAAAATTTGTATTCTATGGCGTATATATTTACTCCTGAAGGACATAGGCCCTAGAAGTTGATAGAATATCCAAGAGAAGTGGTTGATCTTAAATTAATACCAATTATATTTTCGAATGTACTCTTATGTGGGCGTTACACTTAAATATTTACACATTATTTAGTAAACCATTAACACAATAGAGGACGGAAATACAGCGCAGATTGTTTTGAAATTTTCTGTGATGTTCCAGTTATGGACAAGGACAAAATATAGATGTTCGTTGATGTTCAGATAATAATCTTGGAATGAAGTGGACCGAAAACTTAATTTTTTGTTTTTCGGATCGATCTATAGGCCACAATTATAGGCCGAACATAACAAACCTTCCCACGGTGAAGGGAATTTGGACAAGTAATTAGAAGAGCTGTACTGAATATTAGGAATAATTGGAAAATATGTCAGTGCAAGGAAGAGGTGCTGTTGACCTGAATATCACAAAATATTGCTCGGAATAAACATCCACAAATAACTAGAGTTTCGTTGGTCTAAGGATAAATGTATGAAAAAATTCATTTGATGTAGGTCTTTGGGGAAAATATTATTTAGCAATTTTCGCCCTAGTTGGCCTTTGGGAAACCTATTTTATCACAATATTCGTTTTTGCTACGTTACGGGAAATTGTTTTAAAAAATACTGGACAATTGTGGGTGCTTAGAAAAATATGTTCTAAAAATCTAGATCTACGCAAATTTTAGACCTAGGAAAGGCCAGGCAACCTTTTGTCCTAGGATACAATTAAAAAAACTCTCTACCTTCGAAAATACTACGCTTCTGATAAAAAATATTTTTGTTGCTGATTAAAAACCTATGAGTAAAGGCTTATCTCTTCTGCTGGCTTGTTCTTTTAAAAATGCAATTCATTCAGGAGTTTTTTTATTTTTAATCCAGCCTTATGTTGGTCCTTTGAAAACGATGTGTTTTAAAACGTTTCTTTTGTATACTAAAAATAAAAAAAATTCTGATAGTCCCTGGTAAACTATTCTTAAAAATATCAACGCTATTTGAAGCCATTCAAAATTAATTTTTGATAAAAATAGGCTTAATTTATTCATTGAAGTTTTTTAAGTTGATCCTTTGAAAAATTGTTTTAAATAAATTCAGGTTTTGCTTGGTCCTTGGAAAAGTTGGTCCTTTTGAAAAGTATTTCTCTAAACATAAAACAAACAAAAAATAGTCTTCTATTCCACGCTTCTGTTGATTTTTTCTTAAATAGGCACTTTTTTAGTTCTTAAAAAAATTTTAAGGCTTCTGCTTGTCATTTGGTTCAAAATATTTTGTAGCCTCCTTTTTTTGAAATATATTTTTTCAAGGGTACAGTAGCTTGGATTCCTTTTAAGATTATTTGTTTAAGGGCCAGTTTCATCAGAAACATTTCTCCAATGTTCTTTTCTTACTCATTTCACTTTCAATCGCTTCTTAATAAAATTTTGATTGTAAATACCCATTATTTTGTTACTCATCTGTGTAACACTGATTTCTATCAACATAGTAATAACCATCGATTCGAATTTTCCATCATATTTGAAAAAAAAAAAATATCCTCGAAACATATGCTTTCATGTCGATACTAAAATTTTATATTTATTTTATGAATTTTTATTAATCATTTTCTTCTTATCTTTTCTTTTTCTCTTTTTAGGTAAGTGTCGTCTGCATAATAATAATTATTATTAATACCATTTAAGTTTGGTAAGTTTTTGCTTTGAAATTATAAAAAAAGACAAATACTAATAATAATAACTCGAACACGAACAAGAAAACTAGCTGCCTGTCAACGCCAAATCCTCAATGGTCTTTTTAAAACTCATAAAACAAACACTTAAGCTCAATTTTATGGTTCAATGGCATTTCATGAATATTTATAAAGGAGTTGGTGTGGAGTGGTCTTTGAAAAGTTGTCGCCTTTTGCCAAGCAGCATTGTAATGTGTAACAAAAACATAGAGCGCGAACGCGTAAACCACAAAACTTTAAAATGTTGCTGGCATCAACGTGTTCTGCGAACACCAACCATAGGACGTTGCATGTGGTGCATGATGTTGGTGTTAAAACAATCATCCTCCCAACCTAACTTAAGATTTTACATATTAAAGCACATTTTTTTCTTCTTGGCCAGATATTCAGAGCAATTCGCTTCGTTTTGTTGTTGTTGCTTTGTGTGATGTGCACTAACCAACAACAGCAACAGCAGCAACAACAATAATAAACAAACAAAGTAATTAAACTTTTTCTTTTACACCCAACCGACTAAGTCAGCCAGCCAGTCAGCCATCCAGCCAACCGTTTAACCAAGATGCCAGTAGAATGTTCGTTTTTTCTTTCTTTCTTTATCATCGTCGTGGTCTCTTATTTTCTTTTTTGGATCCTTGTTGTCTGGCATTATTGCCACAAGTCCATGTTTCATTATTTGCCTTGGAAAAATATCTTCAAACGTGCGGTTAGTTGTTGTTGTTGTTATAGGGTATGAACTTGTTTGCCATGCCGTATGATGGTTGTTGGTTGGTCGACGGTTGCATTCTTTTCATTTTCATTAAAAGTGGGAAAAATAGCGAAGCTCTTGAGTAGAACGAAAATTATATTCTTAACCAGTATTTCTAATTAGCTGCATTCCATAATATTCGTGGTTGGTTTTAATACCAATGGAGGGGTGCGATATTAGTATAGAGTTCTACATTTAGATCGGAAGGCCCTGTATGCCTGTTGTGGTAGCTGCAAAAAAATATTTTTATAAAATCCACACCTTTTCTACTTGAAAAAAATATTTTTATAAAATTTACCCCTGTTGTGGTACCTGAAGTAGTTGTATAAATCCACGCCCATTGATACTTGAAAAAATATTTTAAAAAAAATCAACACCTATCTGTGATATTTGAAAAAATATTTGTCAAAAAATCAACGTCCATTTGTGGTACTTGAAAAAATATTTTTAAAAAATAAATAAAAAAAAAAACAGAGAGCGGAGCAGTATAGTCGGCCGGGGTCGACCATACGATACCCTACACAACTACCACGTGACTCTAACTTTTTGCGGATTTTTATTCCGAGCCTGGGCAATATTTCGTAATATTTGCACCCTCTTGCCCGATTAGAGATCAACAGCTCTTCGGAAATATGTCAGTGTAAGGCACTGACATATTTCCGAATAGTTCTAATATTCGGTACATGTCCATATTCCATTCCCTGATGTTCGTCTTATAATTGTGGCCTATATATCGACTCGAAAAAAAACACAAAAAATTAAGTTTTCGGTCACTTTATCCCAAAATTATTATCTGATCATCACCGAAAATTATAGGCGTTGGCCTTGACCATAACTGGAACCTCATGGAATATTTCAAAGCGATCAGCGCTATATTCCGCACTCTAGTGTGGTAATGGGTTACTAAATGATATCTGAATACGTAAGCACCTGTAAATATTTAAGCGCAACTCCCACATCTGAGTACATACGATAATATAATTGGTATCAATTTGAAGGCCAACCACTCTTCTTGAATCTATTATCAATATCTCGGCTTCATGTCCTTTAGGAGTAAATATATACGCCATAGAATACTAATTTTGTAATTTTTCACAAAAAAGTCGAGGTCCATTTGACCAGCTAAATATTGACCGATCTTTATCAAAACAGGCATGCTTACACTTTGGCCCGATCCCCTTCTCCATGTAAAAATGTTTTTGGTCCATTTCATCCCCTAAATATTAACCGATCTTTACAAAACACAATAGGGGTCTTCTTTGGCCAGAACCCATTCTACATGCAAAATTTCGTGAAGATCGGCCCATAACTGTGGCATGTATCGTGTTTACAAATTATAATGGGCAGACGGACGGACACACATGTCAAGATCGACTCAGCTAGTCGAGATATGACCGGATCGGTATACTTAAAGGTGGGTTAGGACCAATATTTCTCGGCGTTACAAACTCTTGGGGCTGCACAAAGCTATAATACCCTGACAACATAGTTGTGTAGGGTGTAAAAATCCAGGCATATTGGTGATACTTGAAAAAATATTTAAAAAAATCATCGCTCTTGGTGGTACTTGAAAAATATGTTAAAAAATCGATCTCTGTTTGTTGTATTTGAAAAATATGTGTCAAAAGATTCACCGCTGTTTGTGGTATTTAAAAAAAATATTTTTAAACAATCCATCCCTATTGGTGATACCTGAAACATATCTTTTTAAATCCACTCCTATTCCTGGCACTTGTCTACTCCTATTTCTAAAGTCTAAGCCTTTGGTGGTACCTGAAAAAATGTATTTAAAACAAAAATCCACTTTTTTGTTGGTTCTTACTCGTGGTCTCTTTTAAAAAACTTCGGGTCCCCCACAAATCTCCAAGGCAATTTTACATTTCCCTTTGAACTTCTATTTGTTTCTGACAATGAACACGTTCCATTGTATTCTTTTCTTTAAATCCATGTCTCAAATTTTGTTTAAAGTTTTGTCAACAGTTTTATCCTTAACCTTTTATTTTGTATTTCGTTTATCCGTTCGCCGTTTTTTTCCTGAGTTTTCCTTTTTATGTGAATTCTAGGCAGTAACCATTGCTGCGTCTCATTATCTCAAGAAAAAAGTCGCGTAGTTTTGTATTTCTTTTCTGCTTCTTCTCTTTACTTTGTTAGGACGTTGTTGTTATTTTTATTGTTGTTGTTGAGGAGTATTATACAAACAATATGTTGCCATTTTTTAAGCAGCTTACACTTGAGGCTTTTATAAAAAACGAAGAAAAAACTGAGACAATACCTTGGATTCGTTTGTCCCTACCATTCCAGTGGCTATGCGCCAAGATATGCGTACATTTGCATTGTTTCGAGTCGGAAGAGGGAGGGAGTGGGGCCAAGGATAACTTCATGGCACACACAATCACCGTAAATGGGGAATTAAACTTGGAATAGTGTTTTCCATATTTTTTTTTGCAGTTTTTTTATTTTTCTCATTCCTTCTTTTACATACTTGTGTTGTAAGTATTCTTAACAAGTTGCTGTTGTTTTGTTTTTTCTTTAGTTTGCGGCAAGGTTGTTCCCAACCATTTAATCACTTAATTCTCAGGGTAAATGTTCCGGGATGAATAGAATGCATTCTATTTAAAGGGATATCTGAACTATCTTCTTTGTAATAAGTTTCAGGTAAATTTTCTTAGATTTTTTGTAGTTCGGATTGGATCAGGATTCAAGATCAGGATTATACCGTAATAAGGATTGAACATCATTTGTTTAAAAATTCCACAAAAACCCACACATCCTTTAAAAAAATTTAAACCAGTGAGCGGATCAGTATAGTCGGACGGGCCGATCATATGATACCCTACACAACTACCACGAAAAGCAAACTTTTTGCGGCTCTATATTCTGCACCTGAACAATATTTCGTGATATATGCACCCTTTTTACCACATGTAGATCAACAACTCCCCTTTCTAAGCTTAGCATATTTTCCAATTTTTTTTTCATGAAGTGACTTTTTACGCCTTAAAATAAAAAAATGGTCACAGGTTTTGATTGCGTTGAGCCTCGGAATATTGACCGATCATCATCTAAACAGCCGCTCTAAGTATTTGGTCTGATCCCCTTCACCTTGTAAAATATGTGATGTTCTGCATATGATAATTGCCTATAGAGCGACTAGAAAATCTGACAATTAAAGTTTTCGGTTCATTGCACGCCCTGAATGAAATCTCAACTTCACCGAAAACTATATGCGTCCTCCTTGACCATAATCGGAACTTCATGTACAATTTCAAAGCGATCAGCGCGACATTTCCGTCCTCTAATGGAGTAATAGTAATTCTATGCAAATAGTTGCATTTACCTAATTACGTATAACTCCCACATCAGAGTACATACAGTCATATAATTAGTATAAATTTAAAGGTCAACCACTCCTCTTGGCTATGCTATCAACTTGTCGGGTATATGTCCTTCAGGAGTAAAGATATAAGCCATAGAATTAAAATTTTGTCATTTGTCACACAAAAGTCAGTGTCCATTTGACCCCCTAAATATTGACCGATTTTTATCAAAACAGGCATGCTTATTCTTTGGCCCAATCCCCTTCTCCTGGCAAAAATTCGCGGTGTTTGGGCCATAATTGCGGCCTCTGGAGCGATCAGAAAAACCGACAAAAATAAAGTTTTTGGTCCATTTCATCCCCTAAATATTAACCGATCTTTACCAAAAACAATAGGGGTCTTCATTGGCCAGATCCCATCCAACATGCAAAATTTCGTGAGGATTGGTCTATAACTGTGGCCTGTATCGTGTTTACAAATTATAATGGACAGACGGACGGACACACATGTCTAGATCGACTCAGCTAGATCGGTACACTTAAACGTGGGTCTAGGATTTTCGCCAATATTTCGCGGTCTTACAAACTCTTGGGGCTGCACAAAACTACAATACCCTGACTACATAGTTGTGTAGGGTATAACAAAGCTATAATACCCCGACTACATAGTTGTGTAGGGTATAAAAATGCACGCTTGTGGATAATCCTTAAAAAATCCACGCTTGTGGATAATCCTTAAAAAATCCACGCTTGTGGATAATCCTTAAAAAAAACCACGCTTGTGGATAATCCTTAAAAAATCCACGCTTGCGGATAATTCTTAAAAAATCCACGCCTGTGGATAATCCTT